TCTTTAAGGTCAAAAGTTTGCTGGTGGGGAGTATAGTTAAGTGGTAAAATGCAGGCCCAACACACATGAAGTCCTGGCCTCGACCTCTAGCACCCCAAAAGAGTGAAAATAGAAGTCCAGATTTCCATCCTTCCTGGAAAAATCCAGAAGACTGATAGCACTAGCCCTGCCTCCTCCTCACAGCAACTGTGGCTCTGGAGCTGAGTGGTCGGTCCAAGGCCTGCTGTGCAGTCTGCCCATGTTCTCTGACACTTGCTGAGCACCCTCTGCTGCTGCACCCTCAGGGAGCAGAACTAGGGCACCCACTATGCCCCGGCCGAATGTGCTCTTTCATGGTCCCTTTAGATGTCCAGACAGCTCAGGAAGAGCCTCTCTCTGTTCCCTGTGTCAGACACCTGGCCTGGCATTTCCCCATTTCACCTGGGCTTGACCACCTGGTGTGCTTCTCCTGGAAACTTGGCATCCACATCTTCTGTGCATGCTGTCACCTGAGTTGTTCCTTCCCTGTAACCCTGTTCTGCCCACACAGCCAGGAGCAGGAGGGGCAGCTTCCCACCACACTTCCAGGAGCGGGGCCCAGGAAGCGGCTTCTGCCACTGAGGGCACCAGTGTTCCTTCAAGGTCCTCCCTCTGCTCCAGTCCTCATACTGAAATGTCCTTGTAGCTCACCTGGGGAATTGAGTTTTAACACAGTACCCATGTATACAGCCTCGTCACAGGATTGTTTGTTAAGGTTTTAGAGGGTAAACCTAACAGACACCGGATAGCAAGCCATCCACAGGGTTGTGGTACAACCAATCAACCTTCTCCACAGGCTGGTACTATCCAGTTTGGATGCCCCAGCTACCAGGATGGTGAGCCAATAAATCTCTTATCTTCATACATTCCTCAGTGTCAGGAGTTTTGTTATAGCCACACAAAATGGACTAAGACAATACCTTACACACACTCCTGCACAAAGTCAAACTCAAGCCCTCCTGGAGAACATTTGCAATGCAGATGAGACAGAGCCCCATGGGCAACTCCCTCTTCTGTACGCTAACCACCTTTCCAACCCCACTGCCGAGAGGCAACGTTGGGACTTGTTCCAGCAACTCAGGCTCAGACACCATTTGCCTCGGTCTAAACCGAAGCTCAGAGACTGGACATAGGCATCTCCCAGAAGCCTTTTCTTACAATTCTTTGCCATCTCACCTTACCCACCATTAGGTTCTAGTTACAGAGGGGAAGGGGAGGCGTCTCTGAGGACACAAAGACATTCTGGGTGGGGGACACAGGACGAAAGCACGGGGGCTGCAGAGAATGCCCTGGGATCCACATCCTGAGGGCTGACACTGCCACTCCCAGCAACACCACAGGCTGGAAGTCTTAGTTCTCAGCGGAAAATGTGTTGCTAGGGAAAGGGGAAATCATGCACAGGAGGAAGAAGTTTCCTGATTCAAGACATGAAGCTTAGACAGCCAGCAAATGTTCAGTCACACAGGAAACAGCTCAACACAAAATGCTAAGTTTAAAAAGTTAAAAGATTGCACACAGATACTGCGATCCCAAGCGAGTGAGGTCGTTTTTGCATGTCCACCTCTTTATGAACACTCAGACATAAACAGAAGAAACCCAAAGTGAAATATATAAAAGTCCACTAAATGTGTCCTTTATCATCACCTGTATTTTTCCTTTGTTCTTTAATGAAACTGTGTTTCTCTTATAGGAGCATTTTACACTGAAACAAAGCCAGAATGCTAGGAGGTTAGTGAAGCTGTCTTTGATGAAGGGACTAAATTCTAAGTCAGACATGTGAAAACCAACAGCAGACACAGAAGGGAGAACTTTTTGGAGTCTCAGTTTCTTCATAAAGAGCCAATTAAATGTCTCCAAAGTTATAAGTGACTCATAATATCTGGGGCTAAAATCCTTCTATTTTCTTTCTCATCTGTGGGTGAGAAAGGGCATGTGAAGTGGCTTCTTGGGGTTGAAGTTGGACCTTGGAGTTTTGGGTGCAGGAGGTTTGAGGTGGCCTGGGCAGCAGGCAGGATGGCCCCCCAAGGAGCATGGCTCCCAGATGGCTATGCAAGCCCTGCCCTTTCAGCAGGGCTCTGTGCCCCTATGGGGTGGTGGAATCCATCTGTCTTCTCAAAGGAGTGAGGCCTCCTGAGGATGACCTCATCTTTACCGATCCCTACCTACATCTCTCCCCTCTTTGTGCTGTAGTTCAGAATGCAGACTACAGTTCAGTACATAGGACCCAGTAGTAAAAAGAACATTATTTCGACATGACTGATTTTACCTGACCACAGCTAAACTCTTCTTTTCACTGGGCTGTGTCCTCCTCCAAAGGGACCGGGCCACTTCTTGCTTCTGTTCAGAACTTTCTGCTCTCCTCAGAGCCTTCTGTTGGACAGGTCTATGCAAAAGAAGGCACTTAAATGAGAGTCACTGGAAGTTTTATTTCAGCGAATTTTGTATTAGTAATTTTAAGTATTTATTCTAGTGGCAACAAGAAATTAACTGTAGGAATAGCCAAGTGTATTCTAAGTACTATACTGACATTGACTTTTGGTTCAGGCTTTCAAAGTCCTTAGTTTCCACCCCCACCCCGACTGCTCTTTAATTTCACCCGTTCCTAGCTCTTTGCTTACTGTAGACTGGGATTTTGAATGCTTCTGGCAACTAGGTGTTATTAGTAAGGCACGGTGCTCTGTTATTAGATTGCATTTTATTATTTCCTTCAGCTCAATGTGTACCTGATATTGGAGACTCTCCCTGTGGGTTGAGGTTGAAAGACACAACACACAATGTGGTTTTATTATTTTGGGGGCCCCTGTGCAGCCAGATGGGAATCTGGACTTTGTAGCAGGCCGGTGTTGCTTCTTCCTGGCAGGGACAGCCCTGGATCCCTGCACCAGGGGCTGTGATGGTCATCTGCATCTGTTCCACCAGAGATCAGTAGGCGTTTAACACAGATTTCCTAGCCTCTTCGCACAGTGGATCCAGTTTACCATCACCTCCTAGGGAAATAGACAGAACTATTTCTGTACAATTTGATGTTTTATTAGATCCACCTAGGGCTTCCATCAGTGGTTCATTTCTCAAGGCCCCAGGCCTGTACAATGTTAGCCAACCTCAAGGGGGTTGCACAACTTTTCTTTTTGAGCATGGAGTGGAGGGCAGGTGCAAGCTGGGCCAGAAGCCCCCCAGGGCACAGGAAACCTTAGAACACTGCAGATAATGCCACACACAAGGTGTACACGTGACTCCAAAGGTCTCAGCAAGTCCAGACCAAACAAGTTAGTGGAACAAAAGTCACATTGAAAGCAGATAATAATAAAACACACATTATTTAAGAAAAATGATAATCATCAAATTCCATCATCTATTTGAAGTCGGGGCTTAACTTCATTTTCTTTCCTCATCTATTTCCAGAGTCTGGAAAGAGGTCAGAGTGACAAGGGTTCTATAGTGTGTGGTCTCAGATTACCTCTGTGGGCCACAGAATGGGGCTTCTGTCATGAAGGGGGAACTCAGAAAGAAACCCAGCTTGATGCAGGCATGACACATTAGCCATCTGAACTAGGAGTGGTGGTGGTGATTCTTGGAAGAGACAAAAGGTTGACCAGAAAGCTCACAAAAGAGAAGCCTTACCGAACTCCAAGTCTGTAATATTGCACTGGAAGACAATGTCTTCATTTACCACGAGCTCCACCACATTCCATTCTTCTATTTTCTCTAGGATGACCTTGTGTCCATCTTTGGCCAACACAGCTGGAAAATGGAGAGGGAGGTGGTGACATGGGGACAGACCCAACTAACCTGATGCATAGATGCGCTGGACACAGCAGCCTGGGTGCTCTGTAGACTCTACTGGCTATAGTGTCACCATCTGGTGGGATTCCCTGGTGCTAGCCCCCACATAACCTCCTCCCCTTCACAAGGAAGCACAACCAGATGCCTGCACAACACAACTTGGATCAGGGTTGGGAATTACCCAGGCTCATAAGAACTGCTTGACAGTGACCTTTCTTTAGGAAGGGTGACTAGTCTGTACATAAGCTTAATTTTATGGAGACCGTGCCCATGTGTGGGGACTCAGGAACTAGGAAACTTCTTGCCCTGTTGGTAAAAATAGAATTGGTAGCCTTTCTGAAAAGCAATTATCAGGAAAAACCTAAAACTTCAAAAAACAAAAACAAAAAACAATTCTAGTGTTTGATCCAGGAAATTGCACTTAAAAGAAAGCTCCATAAGGAAAAAAAAACAAAGTCAGAAATAGCAGCAGAGTTTTGCAACAAGATGTCCTTTCATATTATTAGAATAGCACAATTTTATGAACTTAAAAGAATAGAAGGATGGTCAAGTATCCAGTGGTGTGTTCCTGTGATGATGTTTTTTTTGGACATGGAAAAATGTTTACAAAGCTGGGCACATGCCTATAATCCCACCACTTGGGAGGGAGGCTGAGGCAGGAGGATCACTGTGAGTTTGAGGCCAGCCTGGGATATGTAGTAAGTTCAAGACTAGCCTGAACTGCATAGTGAAAACTTGTCTAAAAAACAAAACAAAACAAAAACAAGGTGAAGGGAGGGCTGGGGAATCAGGAAAAATAAGAACCAAGATAACTTATGTAAAGTTAGAAGATCCCAATGATGAATATATAACTGTACTGGATACCTAAAATGTACCAGTAAACTTAATAAAGATAAAAAAACTAAAAATGTTCATGAACTTTTGAAATAGCATGAATAATATAAATAAAAATCAGGATACAAGTATGTATAATACATATTAAAATATGTATCCAATATGAATTAAAATTATATAAGGAAGAAGAAAATATTTTTGTAGTTATGTCTTTGTGGTGAGATTGTATGAAACTTTTTCTCTTTATTCCTTCAACATTTTCTAGACTGTCTACAATCATGGGGAAAAAGTTCTTTACAAAGGCAAATGGTCTAACGTTTTCTTCTCCTCTTTGGAACCTCCAATTTGGTTACCAATTCTATCCAGTGGCTCCTTTCTTTAGCAGAGATGGGCTGTGAGCCTGCAGGCCTGTTTCTTCCAGGGAACTCTTCCCAATTTTCTTGGGCCATTCACTCTACACACGGGCCATGGATTGGGCTGCTGAATCACTGTCCTCAGCATCTGCAAAGGCTGATGATGACTTCAGTGGGATGGAAATGAAATCAGGCAGGGGACGTGTTTTTTAAAGTCTGAGCTCAATCAGTCTTCAGTGGAGAAAAGCAGACTGTGATGTCAGTTAATTGCATCTAATTACAGAGACAATTGCTGTTTCAAAACGTTGGTATGTCCACTTCTTTGTCTTTCAATCAGTTCAAGAACCTCCATCCCCGACTGTGAGCATTTTAATTGCTTGATTTTAATTTCACTTCTGGAAAGGAACTTCAGAAAGACCCAGCGAGGGTCTCCATTAACACCACAGCTCTCCGTGGGCACCTGGTGGTGGCCCTAATTGACCTGCGTCAGCAAAGGCCTCTCTCTGAAGGTGTCTGCGTTGTTTTCTTTGGAATATTTATGTTGTGTCCTGCCTAAGTGTTTCATTCTCAAACACCTTCAAAGAAGGTGCTGTACTGGGGCTGATTACTTGGTTCCATTAAGCAGTTGCTTGGGGGTGGGGATGGCAGCTGCTCAGAGGCACAGCAGTTGGGAGCAGAGACTTCGGGGTCATAGGTTCCCGAGGGGTCCCAGGACAGAGCAGCTAAAGGTGGAAAGGTAGAATTTGGTCCCTGTGGCCTTCAGCTTTTCGTTGTCTGAAGACACTTCCATGGTGAAGATTTCCATCTGTCAGGAAGATATCAGAAGCAAATATCTTCTCCATCCCCCATATTACACGGCCCCTTGGGGGCCAGGGACAGCTTCTCTGCCATTAACATACAGGCCAACTCTAACTGTTCTGGGTTTGGAGCTTGTTTTAGGGGGACAGGGTCTCTCGTCCAAAGCAAAGTATAGCTAAGAAACAGGACCCACCAAATAACTCACCCTACAGAGTTCATGGTGGTGGGCAATGGGGTCACCCTCGTCTGTGAGTGAGTGGAGCCAGGAGGAGATATCCGCTTCAGAGGCCTGCTCTTTCTGGTCTACCTTCTGGGACTGCCAAGCACAGGCTCTCCTGGTCCCTGTGGGCCTGTGACTCTCTTCCTGACCACAGCACCATGGTGCCCTCCCCCAGGTGCTTGGAGTTAATTCAGTTCCCTGCATAAACAAACTCAGGATGATGCTGGATGTCACCATGGATCTGTGGGTCCAGGTGACCCAAGTCTGATTTGCAGTAGAGTGATCACTGCCACAGTGTTCCCTTCCCATCGGTCCAGGATGTGCTGAGCCTGGCTACGGTAGCCGGTGAGGCTTAAGGGATTAAAACAGCAGCAGCCCCGGAATTCCCGCAGCTCAGCCAAATACCACCTCTCCAGTGGGTCACCCGGTCTCCTGGATCTGCTGTGGGGCTGGCTATTCAAAGAAAGGTCAGACAGATATACTCCCCGAGACAAATGGGCAAAGACAGCGCTAAACCTGGCATCAATCAGCCCAAAGCTGTAAAGCCTCCTGCAGAGTGCCTGCCTCTTTGAAGTGGCACCTCGTTCTTCAAAGGGGATCTGGACAGAGTGAGAGGACACGGAAAAGCCTCTGTCCCCTTGGTGCTGGCAGAACTGTATACCATCTGTGGGGGTTTAAATGCTGCTGGGCAGGAGGTAGAGGTATGGAGCCAGACAGGTCCTATCCCTCCCTCAGCACAGATGTGACACCAAAGACCATTAATGATGCAGACAAGCCTGAGCTAAACATGCATATTCTGTGTTAAAGGGTTGGCCCCAGCTCCCTCCAACTCAAGAATACCATACAAGGCCCAAACATGGCCTGGCAGTTACATAGGATTCATTGATAAACGTCAGCTCAGTTTCATCAGCATTGAGGCCAGAGTGGAGACATTTTTGCTAGGCTATTATAACTCATGAATAATAAAGGACAAAATTTGCAGATTGCTCAAGGCTTGGGAAATTTGTAATAGAGCAGGTGTGTTTCCAAAGACTCGTGGCTCCAAGCAGTGATGAAAGACTATGATTTTTCACAGTAACACACAGCGTTTGGATGAGATTTTGTGGCCGAGGACCTGCGGATAGATCTGCTTGCTGTGGTGTGAACATTGGTCTGCAGTGGGGTGTCGGGGGTGGGGGACAGGGAGGAGTGCATGTGCTCCCTGCTTCATTGCTGCTAAGCATCCTCAGTCCCTGGGACTGCCAAGCACAGGCTCTCCTGGTCCCAGGCAACCTTGACGGTGGTGTTTGAGTCATCATGTGTGACACAGAGCTTACTTTACACATTGGCCACCTGCTGGCACCTCGGTGTCCATAAGTCTCCTTCAGCCACAAAACATGATACGCTGGGGGAGGGGCAGCCTGCACCCCCAGGCTAGGCTCCAAAACAACTGTACCTCCTGCCAAACATGCCCTTCAAGGTCCAGAAGGCCCACATGTTCAGGGACTGGCTCAATTTTCCCTTCCCTCTTTTACCCATTTCTTCTGTCTTCCTTCTTGAAAATTCTTTTGCTGGAAAAAAAAAACAAAAACAAAAACAAAAAATCTTTTTTAAAAATTCTTGTGAGACAAAGTCTTACAATGTAGTTCAGGCTGGCCTTTGACTCAAACCAGGGTGGCCTTTGAATTCATGGCAATGCTCCTTCCTCAGACTTCTGATTATAGGTGTTCACCACCATGCCTGGCTAGAAAAAAAAATTTTTATCTGTAAGATTTTATGAGATTATAAGTGTAATATAGGGCCAGGGATTTGGCTCAGTGATTCCACTGCTTGCCTTGCAAGCGCAAGGGCCCAAGTTCAATCTCCAGTACAAAAAAAAAAAAAAAGGTAGTACAGATTCATGATGGCCCTGAGTAGCCCGTCAGCTCTCAGAAGTCTTTGACTTATACTCCTGGAACTCTAGGAATATTCCCAGAATTAAAGGCCATGCTCACACTTAGCTTCACTGGGTCACCTGGCTTTGGTGCTGAGAGCAGACTGCAAGAGGACAAGGGTGGCTTGTCACAGGGAGCCCAGGCATGAGGCTAGGAGGGATCCAGGCAGGAGAGGATGGCCACTGGGTAAAAGCAGTGAGGGAGGGAGGGTGGTCATAAGGCCGTCACATCAAGGCCACACCTGGCATTATGAATGGACAGACTGGCCAGGGAATGAGTCGGAGAGAGGAGTGAGAATTCCTCCAGAGCTGGCCCCAGCAGCTCGAGACAGGTGCAGCTGTGAACTGAGGGGACCTGCAGGAGCTCTGGGTAGGTGAGCTGCCAGGGTCCTGCTTGCAACTCCCAGACTAATGGAATTGAATACTCTGGCTGTGGACATCCTGATGATGATGTAATTCAGCATTCATCAGTGTTGATGCCAGTCAGTCATAACTGCTCCAGACTCACATTTCTGGCCTTTGTCTTTCTTCTGAACATAATGTTTAACCACTGGCTTCATATTCCCTAGTAGTTCACCCCTCCTTCCCTTCAGAATTGGCCTCTTGTAGGGCATCCCTGATCTCACCACTGTTCAGCTCAAGAACTGTTGCTGGTACCCTGATGCCAAGGGCTGAATTCTTGCTGCTAACCACTCCCATCAGGCCAGCTGCTGCTGTGCCCCAAACATGCCCAGCTACTCCCTTCCCTATCCCCTCCCAAGGATAATAAGAGCTACCCCTTACAATGTGCAGAACCTTGTCCAGAATTGACCATGTTAGACCACAAAACAAGTCTTCATAA